GTTTGTCTCATTGTGGGGGTTTAGCAATGTCTCTGTGTCTGGCAGGGGGCGGGAGGTTCTGCGGGGGCTGTGTGTGGTGTGTGTCTCCACAGGAGGGGAGGAGGGGGCATGATGCTCTGCGTAGGGGGGACATATGTGTGTGTATGTATGTTGGGGTGTGTGGAGGAAGGCCATGGAGCTGCCGTGAATCCGTGTGGAGGAGCCCATGTGCCCAGCTTGCTGAGCTTCATCCCTCGATGCCATGAGTCCCTCTCTGTCCCAGTCCCTTTGTGTGTGGATGTGCACATGGATGTGTGGAGATGTCTCTCTAAATGTGGAGACATCTCTCTCTAAATGTGGAGACATCTCTGTAGAGGAGGCTGCAGGGGTGGCTGTGTTTGTGTGTGTGGCTGTATGTATATGTGTGTGAGCATGTGGCTGCAAGTGTGCACGCGTGTGCCTGGTGTGTGTGTCTGGTGAGAGGCGCTTGACAGGCAAGGGAGGGGAGGGGAAGGAGGCAAGAGACACGTCCAAGGAAGGCTGAGAGGCTGCTGAGAAGGACGGACTCTTTTGTCCAAGCAGCTCTGAAGTGTGTGTGCTGGGGTTGGGGGGGGGGGATTTGAAGGAACTGAAGCAAGCTTCCTGGCTCTAGAGCAGGCATGGTGCCTGGACCCAGCAAGGGGCAGCTGCCCTGGTGCAGGGACTGGCCCCAGTGGGGCATGTCTCCCTTGGGTACCTCCAGATGTGAGAGAGCTTAGCCCCCCAGCCCTGACTTGGCACAGCTTGGGAGCCCCTGGGTGCTGGGCACAACTCCGGCTTCCACTCCCAGCCTAAATTGCCAGCTTAGAAAATGGAAGGAGCATCTGTGGGAGAAGCAGCAAAATGGAGGCTGGGCTGGCAGAGCCAGGTCCCTGGCACGCAAGGCGGAGGGCCTGTCTAGTTATCCGGCTCTGCAGCTCCCAGGGTGGGGAGAGAGGAAGAGGAGGCTTTGCTGTCGAGGGCAGGTGATGACTGCCCCAAGCTGGTGACCGTTCTGGCTGCCTCTGTTCTCTGGGGATAGGATGTGCTCTCACTCAGAGGCAAAGGTGGGGACTTCCTGGGGAAAAGAGCCCTCGGTTCTGGCTTTCTGTCTGTCCACACTTACTGCTTCCCCACATCCCTTGCCTTGGCCTCTTGCCGTCTCCAGTGAGTCCCTCTCTCTCCTTTGCCCCCTCTGTCCCGGAGGCCTTTCCCTTGCAAACACCCTGTTATGCTTGTCCTGCCTGGTTGGGAGACAGGTGCCAATCCCAGACTGGGCAAGTTGGCCAAGGTTTCTTTGCCAGGGCTGATCCCTGGATGGCTCCTGGGCCTGAGAGCAAGGTCCCTGAGTAGGGGTGGGGTGGCGTCTAGAGGGTGGACCACTGGAAACTGGAAGCCTCTGGGTGCCAGTTGGGCTGGGCTTGAGGCATGGCTTGTCACATGTGGGAACATATGGTACACCAAATGCACACAAGGGCCACATGGGTGTCCTTTTGCTTGTGTCTGTTGCATGGTACTTAAGGCAGGTGTGTTGGTTTCGGGTCTCTAAAGAGCCTTCAGTTCTTCCTCCTGGGGTCACAGACCAGGGTAAGGCTGCAGCTGGAGTCCTCCCACAAACTCCCAGAGCTGCAGGGCCAGCCCAGAAATGGTGGAGGCATGACGAGCTAGTCCTCTCCCGCTCTCCTCCTCTCTGCTTCTTGAAGCCAAAGCTGTGTGTGGTGGAGCTGGGATGGGGGGAGCAGAACAGGACATGTGGAGGAGCCCCCACCCTGGTTTCCAGCTCCTCCCTCTGAGAAGGCCAGAGGTAAGGGAAGGGACAGCATAGCCAAAGAAAGGTGGGGGAGGGGTGCCAGGATACCTGGGGAGATAGGCAAGAGGGCTTCTCCATTCTTGGAGATGAGAGTGGGAGCCAGTAAGCAGGTGCTACTTGTCTGTCCAGAATCACATTTTCACTTGACAAAGGGACACACACATGTCCTGACTGGGAGGCCATCTCTGTGGTTGGTCAAATCACCCCTGTGTTTCTGACCCCTTCCCTTGCCTCTTCTCTCATGGATACTGCATATTGAAGACCAAGGACTCTGCTGCCAATCAGTCTGTGGGTCACCAACTTCTCCCTCATGGGGAGTCTTGTCCACCCCGTTCCAGTCCCACCCTTGGCTTTGTCTCTGACTCCTGACCAGATCCCACCCTCACCCTTTCTGCTGGGAAACACAAAGGGCTCAAAACCAAAAGTCCCTTGGTAGAAAATGGATTAGGATTTTGACTGCTTCTGCCTATTTGAGGAATTGTGTTCCTGGAGTCCATGAAGGAGGTGTAGAGTGAAGATTCACGAGGTGCTCTAAACGGGGGCAACTGTCCTTTTTCCCATGAGCTCTGCTGGGGAACGAGGATGAGTGATCAAAGCATCAGTGGCCCTAAGAGCGTACAGTAATGAAAGAACACCTAGAGATCCCATTGCTCTGCCACTAACTCCCAGTGTGCCTTTAGACACATCCCATGTCCTCTCTGGGCCTCAGTGTCACCTTCTGTCACATGAAGGGGGTTGGGCAAGATGATGTCTGCTGTCCTTTCAGTTTGGACACAGTGGGAATCTATGATCCCCAAGTAAGAGAGAACTGTGGTTCAGAAGGGGAGGGGTTCTCTGTCCAGGCCACTGGATATCCCCTATGGAAGCTGGGTGTGGCATGGTTTGCCCTCCATGCTCCATCTCTGCCATTCCCCTAGGCCAACCCTGCACCCCTCCTAGTGAACTCTGAGGCAGGCCCTGAAGCCCAGCCTCTCGGTGAGTGCACCACTGGCTGGCTCAGTCTCAGACAATTGATCTGGGCTAAATGAGCAGCTGGGTTTGGCCTGATATGGTTGGAAGCAAAGCAGGGGTGGGGGGTGAGTGGGGAGCAGCCTCTTCCGGATCAGCCTGTCCTCATCTGTGGCCAAGAGGTGACCTGGGGTGTACTTGGGCTCCTCTACTCTGTGGGAGTAGGGGAGGAGGCAGGTTGACCAAGAGGCAGATGGCTGGGAGGGGAGAGGGCACTAAGGGAACTGCCTGTGTCTCCCTCTAGGTGAATGGCAGTGATGGCATGTTCAAATATGAGGAAATTGTACTTGAGCGGGTGAGTCTGCCAGTGGGGAGAGGCAGAAAGGGGAGGAGAGGGAAGACACCTGAATCATGGTTTCAAGACCCATGGGGGGACTTGCATTAAGAGAATGGAGAAACAGTGGCCCTCAGAGGCCACTTTGATGTATCAATCAATCAACCACTAACAAATAATTGACCTTGCTCACTGAGGCCTGGGGAACTGGGAAGGGAATGGGTTTCCTGGAAGGGTTAGCAGAGCCTGGTTTTCTGACAAATGGGCCCAGCCTGCCATGACCCCTTCTGAGGCCTGGAGAACTAGCTCTGGGACATAAGGGGAGATAATGTACCTGGAACTCTCCTTTGTGCCCTCAGAGTGAACAGACTGTGCCTTTCCACCCACTTCTGCAGGGCAACTCTGGTCTGGGCTTCAGTATCGCAGGTGGCATCGACAATCCTCATGTCCCTGATGACCCTGGCATCTTTATTACCAAGATTATCCCTGGTGGAGCAGCTGCCATGGATGGGAGGCTGGGGTGAGATGGCCTGGAAGCAGGGTTGTGGGTGGCAGGGACAGGATAGAGATGAGAGGAGGGAGGAGGGCTGGCCTGGCAGGATGACCCTTCCATCAGATCTGAGAGGGGAGGGGACAGAGGAGGGGAGGACAGAAAAGTGGGAGGAAGTGGGAGTGGGGGTGGGGGGGCACAGTGTCATGCCTCTCGGGCTTCCCCTGCAGGGTGAATGACTGTGTGCTGCGGGTGAATGAGGTGGACGTGTCGGAGGTGGTGCACAGCCGGGCAGTGGAGGCGCTGAAGGAGGCAGGCCCTGTGGTGCGATTGGTGGTGCGAAGGCGACAGCCCCCACCTGAGACCATCATGGAGGTCAATCTGCTCAAAGGGCCCAAAGGTGCGGCCCTCCAGGTTCCTGTGCTGTAGTCAGAGCCCTAGGCCCCAGATCCCACCTGGCCCCATAGGAATTAGAAGGGAATGGCCTTGTTCCTTGCCTGACTTCCCCCTGTTCCAACTCACGGCCTGCTTTTTAGACCTCAGGCCTCACCCTTACTCATCTCGGGATGGCAGCTTAGCATTTGTGATTCCTCGGGGGAAGCTCCTGTGGGGCCAGTGTGTTGGCTGGGGGAGGGGGCTTAGATTTGGGATCAACAACACTTTAACCTCTCCTCATGGGCCTCTCCCACCTCCTGCTGGCTCCCGCTTAGGCCTGGGTTTCAGCATTGCTGGGGGCATTGGCAACCAGCACATCCCAGGAGACAACAGCATCTACATCACCAAGATCATTGAGGGGGGTGCTGCTCAGAAGGATGGACGCCTACAGATCGGGGACCGGCTGCTGGCGGTGAGACAGACTTCACGGGGATGCCCAAATTGTAGGGTAGGGAGGAGGAGCTCCAGCACCCCTCACTCCACCTAAACCTCACTCTGGGATGAGGCATCATGGGGGAATTTCAAGAGTTATCATCTGTGTTGTGTTTGCCCAGACTCAAAGACCCTACTTTCTGCGGCAGGGTCCCCTCACTTGCCCTATCCCCTACCTCCTGCCTCTGCTCCTCACAGCACTATACCTGGGCCTCTGTTAGCACTGTTGAATTTCACTGAAAGGGCATCCCTCAGATTCCCTGGAGAAGCCTCTCCCTCTCCCAAGTCCCAGCCTGAGGCTTTTCCTCTTCTAGGTGAACAACACCAATCTGCAGGATGTGAGGCATGAGGAAGCTGTGGCCTCACTGAAGAACACATCTGATATGGTGTATTTGAAGGTGGCCAAGCCAGGCAGCCTCCACCTAAATGACATGTACGCTCCCCCGGACTACGCCAGCAGTACGTACTCATCAGCCCCTGTACCTGAACTAAAGCTCTGTCCCCTGGTTTCTGGAGGGGAAGAAGTTCATACTCCTTGTTAAGGGAGAGCAAGCAGCTTTGCTCAGAGGTGGCATCATAGCAGCCAATAAGTTTATCTGAGCGCCATTATTGCTAATTGAAAACTTTGCTCAGTACCCCATCATGAAGACTTGCCATAGTTAGTATTGGCAATTTTTGACAATTTCTACAGAGAGTGAATTTTTAAAAAAGGAGAGAGAGAAGCTGCAGAGGATAGTGGTCAAAGCTGAGTCCAAATCCAGCTCTATCCCTTAGAGCTGGGTGCCCTTGGACAAGTCCCTTTCACCAGTCTTTTGTTTCCTCTTTGGCAAAAGGGAGTTAACGATGTATGTGCTGCCTTCCTCATAGGACTGCTGCAAGGATCAAATGAGATCATGGACGAGAGAGCCCTTGGAAAACTGTATTAGGCTATAGAGATGTGAAGGATTATTATTAGTCACACCTCTAGTCATGCCTTTCTTTGTAGACTGCCTTGACTTCAGCTCTTTCTAAGACTCACAGGAGTGAGCCAAGGATTTAGAAAGGGACTGCGGAGGAGGAACCCTGGGTGGCGGGTGGATGGAGTGGGGAGGTGCGGCCTGAGGAATCAGCATCACTTGGTCTCTTTTGCACTTGAATGGAGGTGTGGGGGAAAGTCCTTGGAGGGGTTTGGGGAACCTGCCTGGACCAATCTCTGAACTTTTCTCTCCCTTTCTTGATTCCAGCTTTTACTGCCTTGGCTGACAACCACATAAGCCATAATTCCAGCCTGGGTTATCTTGGGGCTGTGGAGAGCAAGGTCAGCTACCCTGCTCCTCCTCAGGTTCCCCCCACCCGCTACTCTCCTATTCCAAGGCACATGCTGGCTGAGGAGGACTTCACCAGGTAACACCACCCCCCCCAACACCCCATTCAACCTACCCAGGAGTTGGGGAGGGGAGGAATCCGTTTCTGGCCAGCCACAGCCTTCCTTGTAGTATGGCAAAGAGGACAAGGTCCTCATCACTCCCGGCTTTGGGATCCGAGGCCCTCTCTCAGGCCTTGGGGACCTAGAGAGGGCCAGAGGTGGCTGCAGAGACAAGTTCTACCATCAGGGGGAGTGCCAAGAGAGTGGCCGCGGTCCAAAAGTGCAGATAAAGGATGGGGTGGAGCGTTTAGGGGGCTGAGGAGGTGAGGGCAGCAGAGTTTCCTGCCCTGAGATAGTTGCAGCCTTCTCTGCTGCAACCATTTCAAATTAGAAAAGAGAGCAGTTCAGTCGGTGGGGTTGGCGGGACTCTGACCGGCCTGGTGGCCTCGCCGGCAACTGCCCCGCCCCACTGGCGGCGGCGGCGGCGGCGGCTGCTGCGCGGGGCCTGGAACTGGTCGGGCCGGCCGGGGTTCCGGGGGACAGGTTTGCAGGGTGGGGCTCCAGAGGCTGGCGGGCAGGCAGCAGTGGAGCCGGAAGGGTAGGCGGCCAGGGGAGAGTCAGAGGAGCCATGGAGAGGGCCCTCAAGTTCTCGGGCTCCGGCTTGGCCATGGGCTTGGGCTCCGCCTCGGCCTCGGCCTGGAGGAGGGCTTCGCAGAGGTGGGCCTGGCCGCTTCGCTCCCTGAGGCCCGGAGGGGATGCCAGGTAGGAGTGGAGGACTAGGAGCAAGAGCATCCGGGACTCAGGAAGGGAGCCTAGCCCCTGAGACTGGGAGCAGAAAGGAGGAATCTTGCTTGGGGCTTTGGGCTTCTCCGAGGAAAGATGCTTGTAACAAGTGAAGTCAGTGGGCCGGGAACGGACGCTTGGAGTTGGGCTGATGACACTGAGACCTTTTACGGAGGGCTTCCTTAGATGTGGTTAGTTTTGCTCGCATTTTTCATGTACTTGTCTGCTCTCTTCAATTCGGCTTCTAAACTCCTTTTGGGGACCTGGGGTCCCCCTAAGAGCCCAGGCGCTGCAACCCCCTGTGGCTACATAGTGTTAGCTGCTGATTAAAGATGTTGTTGGGGCAGCAGGTAGGAGGGGTCATAGCTGATGGGTGGAATTTTGAGACTGCAGAAGAGTATCTGTGAAGTAAGGGTGCACATCCTGTGGGTGGTGAATGCAATCAACCCCAGGGTGACTGCATGCCCCTAACTGCTTCCTCTTCTTGTGGCCCAGGGTCCATCACACAGGTTGGTAGGATAGCAGAATCTGGGAAGGAAGAGGACCAGTGAGTGGGCTCTGAGATTTGGTCTCTGGAGTTCAGGGTAGGAAGTTGTTGACCTGAGAGAGTAGGGGACTGTCCACTGGGAAGTTGACTGCAAACCCTTAGGAAGAAGGGAGGGAAGAGGAACTGAAACTTGGCACCTGACATAACAGCAGCCAAGCAGGTTTTAGGAGACAAAGGGAGGCTCAGGGTATCATACATAGGGAACCACGTCCTTACTCCCTACAGCAAGTATGGACCTTGTTCCAGGCCAGCCCTCAAAGTACCACAGTTCATGTCTACCTAGTCCTGACTCCTCCACTCCTTTCCCACCAGAGAGCCTCGCAAGATAATCCTGCACAAAGGCTCCACAGGCCTGGGCTTCACATCGTAGGAGGAGAGGAGGAGAAGGCATTTTTGTCTCCTTCATCCTGGCAGGAGGCCCAGCTGACCTGAGTGGGGAGCTGCGCAGAGGAGACCGGATCTTATCGGTGAGGAGACAAAGGAGAGGTGGGAGTATGGGAACTGTGCCCGTCTAAAGTGGAGACTGGGAGTCCTTCCTCCGAGGAATGCTTCTTGTGACTAAGGACTGGAGAAAACTTACCTTGTTTTTATAGATATCCTGAGTGAGTGACAGGGTCCAGGACCAGACTTATCTTTGTGGAGGAAATGAATGCCTCTTAGATCTTAACGCTGATTGGCATTCGACCTTTATGAAGATAATTATTACAGTAGTTACTCCTCCTAACTACTAGTGCAGAGGACCTCCGTTCTTGCTTTTGGGGTGGCTCACAGCTTCTCTCTTTGGACAGGTGAATGGAGTGAACCTGAGGAATGCAACTCATGAGCAGGCTGCAGCTGCTCTGAAACGGGCCGGCCAGTCAGTCACCATCGTGGCCCAGTACAGACCTGAAGGTAGGAGAAGGGAAGGTGGGAAGAGGTAATGTTGGGGAGTGAGACTTACCCTATTATGTGTTGGCTTTTTGCCATCCTAGGTAACAAAGCCACTTGACCGGGTCCCTTCTACCCTAGGGCAGTAACCTCTTCCTCTGTCCTTTTCCTTCTGGATAGGGGTTGGTTTGGGCGGCTTGGAAGCATCAATTAAGGCTGTGCTCAGAGCCTGCCGGTGTGGGCTTGCAGTTCAGGAGAAGTCCAGTAGTGGGCAGCAGCCTACGAGAAGCAGCATCCCGAGATTAGGGCGACTGGAAAAAAGGGTGGGGGTGGGGGCGGAGGGCTCACAGGAGAAGACTGGGAACTGTGTGCCCTGGAAGAGGAGAGCAGCTCTTGGTTACAAGAACCTCAAGTAGAAGAGATCCGACCTCTTAAGGATCTTGAGCCAAACCTCTGTGAACCCCACTCCACTCCCCTCATCTAAAAAACTGTGAAAGACCCATAAGCGCGCTGAAAACGTGATACTAAAGCCCTTGGGGTAGGCGATCTGGGGTCGACTCCCTCCCCTCCGGGGGGCCTTCTTTGTATTCTCTGTGAGCAGTCCTTGGCTGGGGCGAATGGGCGGGACTGGTCATACAAATAAAGGCGTTTGATTGGCTGGGGCCAACGGAGGCCCAGGTGCCGAGGTGAGTCGCGGGAAGGCGCGCCCTAGCCTGCGGGCCGGCGGAGTGGCCATGGCCGGCTGAGCGCGGCCTCCAGCCGCATGTCCCGCCCCCTGACCCCGGCGGAGGGCGGCGGGCGCCCCTCCTTCCCCCACTCGCGCGCCTCAGGCGTCTCCTCCTCCTCCTCCCTCCTCCCCCTCCTCTCTCCTCCCTCCTCCCGCGCGCCCCGCTTTGTGTCCGTGGTCTCCCGCGCGGGACAGAGGGACCGGCCGGAGCTGGCGCTTTCTCAGCACTAGACCTGGACTCTAACCCGGCGCCAGGTGAGGTGGGGCGGACGGGGTCAGGCCCCCTCGCAGTCCCCCTAACCTCTCTACAGCTCTGTTCTCAGCCTCTTTTCCAACACTGCGTCCCCCAACTCTACCCTCTCCCTCTAATGCCTTCGTCGCGTGCCCCCAACCTCCTTCTGAGACCCTCCTCAAGGCCTCTCGGAGCGCCGCGCGGGGCTCAGCCCCCGTTCACCCCACACTGAGCTCAGTCTGGCCTTCACCTCTTGGCCACCACCTCTCTCCCCCTTCTCGCCCCGGGGCCTCCGTCCTGTCGCAGCCCCCTTCCTGCCGGCTGCTGCGCCCCCATGCAGCTCCCTAATCCCTTGCCCCAGAGGAATTTTCTAAATCTTCCCCTCCCCCGACACGCATTTCTCCACCCAACCTGGCCACCTCTGGGAACAGCCGCGACCGGCTTGGTATTCTGCCCCCTCCCTTTTGTTTGCTAGGGATTCGTATCATTCCCGACTTCTTTCGCCTCCTCCTCCCCTTAGTCCCCTAGGGCTGCAGCGCCTGGGCTCCTGGGACACCAAGGCCCTGTGGGCCGGTTACTAAGGTGGAGGAAGGGACTGACCTCTCCCTGGCAGGTGCTCTAGTTCCGCGATGAGAAGGGGAGCGGCTGGGAGCCCTGTAGCTAAGCCTAGAGGGATTGAAAGCGCCTACCTTTGTCCTTTCCGTTCCCCTCCCGCCATGCTCCTTCACTGCCTCAAGAGCCTGAAGGGAAAGAAGAGAAGGCCTGCGACCTTTTCCGCGAGGCTCTTCTGATCGGGGACAAAAGTGTAGGGAGGTAACTCACCGGAGAAAGAGCTTGTACGTCTGAGGTAATGGAAAGAGGGATGCAAATGGACACTTTGAGTCATTTCTCTCCTTGTTTGGTTTTCAGCTTACTGATGGGGAACGCACCTTAGGGTTACTGTTTTTTATGATTTATGTGTGTGCTGTTCGCTTTCCAGTACAGAGCTAACCGTCTGGTTTTTATTAGCAACTATATTTATGCATTTCACGCCCACAACTTAGACAACACAGGTTCTGCAAAGAAATGGTGTTTCTTGCATATTTGTGTGTGTGTTGTAGGAGAAACTGATGTTTCTTTCGGTTTTGCTCTCTGATGTTGGGCACATGGAAACAATACTGTGAATGTATGTGGTGGGGGTATGCTGGAAACTA